GCCGCCGACAGCGCCGCGTCTCCGCCGCCAGTTCTGCCCCGCGGTGATGCCACATTCCGGGGGGGCACAGAACCCACTTGATTTTGTGGGGACCCACCTGCGTTATCTTGGATCAAGCACCACCGAAAAACAAGGGGTGTAAGAGGGGGAGGCGGAGCTCTCTCGAGTTCTCGGCTGTGTGTGAGCGTGGCAGTGGGTCTGAGCCACTCCCAGCAGCGCTGAGCAGTGACAGTGCCAGCAGAACAGCGCACTCCCTTACAGGGTCACTCCTGCAGCAGCGTAGTCAGTGCTGTGAAAAACGCCAATCTCTTGTTTTTAAAGTTTTCAAAGTTGAATAGTAATTAAATGGTTATAAAAATAGTAATACTATTAGAGTAATAATAATTTGGACAATTTGAATTAGGACCATACGAGACAATAGAGACAAAAGTTATGGACGTCCTGGTACCTTTTACTGGGCAGCACAAGCCCGAGAAAGGACACCCGTTAACAGAGGATTAATCCTTAAAAGCAACAGCCTGTTGCATATTCATACACTTCATACATGATGCATAAATTCCATTCAAATACAGGATTCTGTCTGGTCATTGTCAACTTCTTCCTCCGAATCCTAACAGCGTCTTCGAGGCGGGAAGAAGTTAATTTTTTCTGATAAGAAGGCAATAAATTCTTTTTCTCTGAAAGATTTAGGTGTCCTGTGACTGCATCTTCCTGCAGGTCCTTTATTCACAAAAAAAAGTATCCTATATAGCATAGTTTCTATCTTAATATTTTTTATAATCTAAAACTATATTTAACACACTACTTAAGAGAATTAATACAGCATTACTTTGTAACACAACACATAATATTCATTTTAATATTTGCGAAAAGCCAATCATAAAATACGCATTTTTCACAACCGCCATGAACCACCAGCCTTTTTGTGGGACTGAGGATCTGCCACCTGCCAGTGTCCTCGTGTCACCCCAGGACATCTCGTGAGCTGCCCTAAACCCTGTTTAGCACTGAGGTGTCGCCCCTAGGGTTTCGCACGGCGCTGCTGCGGCTGCCTGTCCTTCCGCCCGCACGCAGTCCCAGCCGGGGCTGCCGGGAGGGGACGATCCGGCTGCGCTCTCCCCGCGGCAGGCGGGAACCCTCACAGCGGGTCCCCGCGACATTATCAACCTCCCACTCTACACCGCGGCCTTTGCATGTAGGTGGCGAAGTGCCACAGGAGGTTTCATTCCGGAACGCCTCCCGCGTCTCCTGGAATGACACCCCAGGAAGGTGGGGGGAGACGGGAAATCAGAAGAACGACGTGGGAACCGGGAGCGCGGCTGCCCCTGCTGGACACGCCCCCCTATCCAGTGACCACGCCCCA